TGTGTCACAATTGAAAAGTCAGGGACTAAAGTGACACAAGCCCCAAACTATAGGGACTATTAGTGTAATTTGCCCTTATTAAAATGAGGAGAAAGAAACTCCTTTCATTAAATAGCAATAAAGGCCATTAAACAAATTTAGTGCTAATAAATGTTTCTAAAACTCTAGCTAGAACCATTTTCACCGCCCACCCATATATACACATGTTTTCTTAACAATCCCCTCTTGACCAACACAAGAGAAATCATCATCCTCATCAACCATGGCAAAACTCAGTATAATTTTTGTGATGCTCCTTATGTACATCAGCATTACTGCAATTGCACCTTCAATGGGAGAAATTGCACCACAACCGGCCGATGATGGTGCAGATGCACCGACAGCTTCCCCCATTGATGCTTACTTGGAAGATTATGATTTAGCAGTTTCACCCATTAATGCTTACTCGAATGAGGAAGTTGAACTCTCACCCTCACCATCTCCAAGCTCTTCTAAAGATGATTTGGGTTTGGTTTTCTTGATCATGTAATCATATAGTTATAGAGAAAGATACTTGACTAGGAAATGATATTTGTTATCCATTATTTTGTCTTATTTTCTATGTATATTCAACCAATAAATGTGAAATATAAATAGAAAAATAATAATAGAACCTATTATGTCATATAAAAAGAAGGGTCCTGCTAGGTTTCATGAAAACTGTCATGAAAACCGTCTGCACCGTTGGATCATGAGACACATACCTGATCTAACGGTGCAGATGGTTTTCATGATGGTTTTCATGAAAATTCTTCATGAAACCTAGCATTTCCCTAAAAAGAAAGAGCAATTTCTCTTGCTCGACCGTGCAATTTGGTACGCTAAACAGCCTATCATAAGGCTTATTATAATGATTTGAATCCTTAATTTTATTGTCATTTATATATTGATCATACATAAAAAAAAAAGAAAAAGAAAAAGAAAAAGATGATTGATTTGATAATTTATAAACACATCTTTCATCACATTAATATGCAAAATGCGAAAAATGACAATAAGTATAAGTTTAAAACAAACTATTTATTTAGGATAAATTATACTAACAATCTTTATATTTTGTCTATTATGTCATTTTGGTCCTTATATTTTCAATTGGTTTAATTTTGACATTTCATTTTAGATTTTGTATCAATTTGGTCCAACTGAAATGTTGTTATTATTCTTGAAAAAAATAATCACTAAGTTGGATGAGATTTCCTCATTGAATTGATCAAGTTTGTAAATTTTCTCTTGAAAGTATGACACATGCCACTCATGAACAATTTTTTTATAAAAAAAAATGTTAACAATTATAATCAATTAGACCAAACTAAGACAAAATTATAAACAAAAATGTTTCAGACCCCCAGTGGGGTAACCCCAGGACCCCCAGTGGGGTCTGATTGGCCAGGAATTATTATTATTATTATTATTTTTCAATAATCAACCCCCACATGTGTGTGGAGGTGATGGGGAGGTGGTGGGGGTGCGGAGAAAGTAGGGGTCTCGATCACGTTTGAAATTATAAATTCATGATTAAAATTATATAAATCAAAATAACTAAATGACCCAAATCTAAAGACTATCAATATAATTCAATTATTTATTTATTTGCATACAATGTGATGAATGGTATATTTATAATTGTGATATCAATTTGATTTTTATGCATGACCTATACATTCAAATTTACAAAATAAAATAATTCTCATTATGAAAGTAGAGTCGTGAGAGCTCACTGGGCCAATTGCAGATTTGGAGTGATTGTTGTGCGAGGGTACACAGTAGTTATTATTGTGCAATTAAATGCGTTTATTTTAGGACCCATTTTAATAATTCGAACCGTTCACATTTCAGAATACATCAAGTAGAATATACTTGTAAAAAATCAAATTAATCGGATAACTTTTACCCTTCTATCTACTCACATTTATTTTTATTTTAATACTTTAAATCACAATTGTTATTTATTTTTGTAGATACAAATGTGAGTGGATGAATGGGTAAACGATATCAAATTAACTTGATTTTTTGCATGTATATTCTACTTGATGAATTCTAAAATGTGAACGGTTCGGACTATCAAAATGGAGCACGAAATGAACCTATTTAACTACGCAACAGTGATTGATGTGCACCTCGCACAGCAGCCACCCCAAATCCGTCAATTGCATGGTCCAATCCACCATTGTAGATAAGGATTTATTACAAAAATTAAATCTTTATTTTATTTTTATTTTTATTTGTTTGACTGTAAGTTTTCCATTTTTTTATGTCTTTTTCATTAAATGTATTGAGACATTTAAATAAATATTTAAATTTGAAGTATTAAAAAATCTAGTACTAAAAGGCTATTTTGGGAATTAGATTAAAAGCCAATTTATTGACCTTTTGGTTTTTTTAGGTCACATTATCTTTCCTATTTTTTTGTATATTTTTTTCAAAAAAAAAAATTAAAAAATTAATTTTTAACTAACTTCCAAAATAGGCCATTGACCTTTTTAACTAATGTTTGAATTCTAAGTATTAAAAAATCTTGCCCTAAAAATCTAAGTAATTTTTCCCTTTTTTTTTTGGGTTATTTTTTAATTTATCATGCAATTAAATAATTTAAAAATAAGGAAAATGGAATGGACCTCATTTTGGTGACCCCAGGCCCAGTGGGCTTTGATTGGTCAATTTTTTATTTTATTTTTTAGATCCAAATGATCAAACCCTACGTGTACGTGTGTGTAGGGGGTGGTGGAGGTGGGATTTTACTGGGGTCTCAATCAAGTCCCTAAAAAAAATATATATATACATTTTTTATAAATTGATGGGTCGGGTCGGGTCACCCACTCCCTCAATCCCTGCCCTGTTATTCTTCGGCCCCGTTTGTTTGGAGAGTTAGAAAGAGGATTGGGATTGGTAGTAAGGTGAGACCCATTAATATTGTGTTTGTTTTAATAGATGGAAAGGGGATTGATAGTGAGCTCTGGATTAGGTTGGGCCTTCCCAAGGGGATTCAGATGGGCCTCCAGGACTTGGTATTAGAAAAATAGTCCGGCGGACTAGAAATTTTTTTTTTGTTTATTTTTTATTTTATTTTTTACATGTCGGACATTTTTTTAACATTAATGTTTAATTTTTTATATTTTTTGTTAAGTAAAAATCGTTATTTTATTTGTTTCATTTTTTTCTAGAAATTTTTATTTTATTTTTATTTTTAAATTTTTTTTACATGTTCGGCCTTTTTTTTAAAACATTAATATTTAATGTTTTTTGTATTTTTTGTATTATTTTATATAAAAATAATTTAACAATCCCTACACCAACAATTATTATCAAAACAATCACAATTTTACTGTTTTGGAAAGATGGTAAAAATCCGGCATTTGACTTTTTACCAATCTTTTTAGCTTTTTGAGAAGTGATTTGAAAAGTTAGTAAAAAATTGACTTTTTACTTTTTAGTTTAATATTTATTTATGATATCAAATCAAATTAAAATAACCAAAATACCCTTACCCAACTTGAGAAATTTATTTTGTTTTTTTTCATAGATCCTAATTTATAATTTTACACCTACATTTATAACACTAGTCAAACTAATTTTCTAACGTTTTTAACACTTACATTTTTAAACATTTTATCTAAAAACATAACTTTTTACTAGGGGTGGGCGCGGGTCGGTTGCGGCCACGGAACCTCCAATCCGCCATCCGTCCGCCAGATTGGCGGATTGAAGAAAATCAATCCGCATCCGTCCGCCAATCCGGCGGATGTGGATTGAGCGGATTGGCGGTTTGGCGGATGGATGCGAATCGGTTTGGCGGTTTAAAATTTTATAAATTTTCAACATAATTCAACTTGTGCACTTCCTCAAAAAAAAGAAAAAAAAGAAAGAAAGAAAGTATTACAGTCAATGACTTAAAAAAAATATTACAATCACTGTATGCCTTATCCAAAGAAAAAAAGTTTGAAACTTTAGAATATCATGATCACTGCATGCCTCATCCACATATTACAATCACAGTATGATTCATCCCCATAAAGTATTACAATCTGTGATTATTAAAATATAATAACAATTCATTCCAAGGGAGAGGTCCCGTAGACCATCTCTCAGTGTCTTATCCATATCTGTATTTTGAAAACAAAAACCAACCAGGCATATATCAATTTTCTATTATTATTTGTAGAGTTAGCATTCTAACAAACTAAAACATAATAGAAGTATACGAAACGTTTATTTTCGATAATAATCAAAACACAATATTTCAGTTGAAAACTTTTTTTTACAACAAAATATTTAAACTTTTTTTCAATTGAAAATACAAACAGAATATTTAAACAAATTGAAAACATAAAATCTTACAAATTAGTAGGGGTGCTCGCGATTTGGCGGTTTGGCGGTTCGGTTGCGGCCAAAAAATCTCAAATCCGCCATCCGTCCGCCAAATTGGCGGATTGGAGAAAATCAATCCGTAACCGTCCGCTCGTCATCACGCATCCGTCCAAAATGCGGCGGATCGGTTCGGTTCGGTCGGTTTTGGCGGATCGGTATATCCGCTGCTCACCCCTACTTTTTACTATGTTCTCACTTAATTCGCTCGCTATCAATACCCTCGATTCTACGTGAACAAACGGGGCTTTCGTGTCTAAGGAGAGAGAAACCTGAAACAAGTAGACACAGGCACCGTTTGGGAAGAAGTTGGTTAGGCTTTTTTTTGGCTATTTTAGTTACAAAAAATAAAATAGGCTATTTTAGCCATAACAAACAAAATATCACATTCAATCCATAATCATTACACTCTTCTCTCACAAAAAAAAAGTCAAAAAAGCTAAAAAGCCAAAAAGTCCTTCCCAAACTAAACTTTTTAGCCCAAGCTAAAATAACAAAAAAAAAAATCAAAAAGTCCAAAAGTCAACCCACTTTCCAAACGGACAGAAATCTATCCAACCTTGTTCGACGACACAAGTGGTCGATACAGATACAGATACAGATATGAGGGAGTGAGTCAGTAGAGAGAGTGCGTAGAGAGAGAGAGAGAGAGAGATGGAGCATCAGGAGCATGAAGTGTACGGAGGAGATATACCCGATGAAGGAGAGATGGATGCCGATGTCGATATGTCTAGGGCTGAAGACGACGATCTCAACTCCAAGGTCCTCTCTCTCTCTCTCTACTCATATGTAATTTGCCCTAATTTTGATGTTGAATAGGACTTGGGGGACATGAAGAAGAGACTCAAGGAGATTGAAGAAGAAGCAGGCGCCCTTCGCGAAATGCAATCCAAAGTTGAAAAGGAAATGGGCGCCGTTCAAGGTCCTCTCTCTCTCTCTCTGTGTTCCTGATCGATCTTTGGTTATGCTACGTTTGTATCAACAACAGAGTTAGATGAATTGTTCAATTATAGATTTTTTTTGGTTCTCCTCGTTGTACTTGGTCAGTGATTAATATGAATTAGCATTAATGATGTTGAGGAAATTGAAATGGATGATGAATTGTTCAAATATGCAAAGTGTTGTTAACTTACCATTAATGTTGCTACCACACATTTATTGGGTTTTGGAGGTATGCTCAATGTTATAAGATTCTTAGACAGTGTAACTATGCCTTTATATAACAACTATTGTATAACATGTGCTAAAATCAATTTTTTAAATTTTTTTTGCCATATTTGTTCAACATAATTTATTTTATAGTTTAAAATGTTGAATCTTACAATTCTTGATTCAATTTAATTCACGATTCTCAAAATTAGAATTTACATCTTTTATGACACTCGCAATTTGACAACTATGAGTACGTTAAGATTACACTAAAGAAAATTTTAATTCCCTCAATAGCGTAGATCGTATAGTATATAAATTTTATATGAAATCAAGAATTGAGCTAAAAATAAAAGGGTCTTGTTATGCTATAAAAATCTATATAAAAAATGAAGTGAATAATGATATATGAAAACCTAAAAAAGTATGTTTCGTCACCAAATCTATGCTAAAAGCATGAATAAATGATTTGAACAAAAACATGATATTGAAATGTGAGAAGTCAAGAAGAGGTTTACAATCAATAGGCCTTTTGATTCTGTCAGGATTTTATACCTTGCTAGAGAGTCTTATGTATATCATTTATCTCTTTGCATCCGGTGTGGCAAACAATATTTATAGTGTACTATGAAGGGAACACCCATTTGGTGTCACCGTCCTTTTAAAGTATTGATTTCACCATTTGTATTATTTCATTATTTCCAAGTTTGAAGGTAAACAATATAACTCTGTCCCCTCTCCCCTAATTTTGACAAATTTATTACAAATGCCACAACTCCCCACTCATATATGTAAATACTCAGAGGTATTAAAGTGACAATTAGGTGCATTCTGTGTGAATCACAATATTGCCAAACAGAATGGTCATCATCCTATTTAGGCGCACTATAAAATATTTTCATTTGTTGAAAATTGTTTCAGCATCTAAGCTATGTTTTTGAAATCTCGAAATTTTGTCATATAAGCCTTCGAATGTTCAAAATTCATAGCTACAAAAAAAATCTCAAGGGATGAAAGGTATCTTATAATATATGTTTCACATTTGGCTACATTTACCAATTGTGGCTATATCTATGGGTGTTAGGGTTGGTTTGGCATAAACTAAATAATACAAAAAGTCAAAAAGTCACTATCCTATTTAAGTCACATCATCTTATTTATATCACATCACCTCTCTAACACATTATATCAAACCCAACCCATATAAGCCAATAAGTCAAAAAGTGCACTTTTTTAGAACATCCCAAACCAACCCTTAATTTAATTTTAAACTTTCCAAATTTTCTTCATCAATGCTCGAAGATGAAGCAAACTATGTGACGTTTCATTCCTTATATGAGTAGGCTTCCAAGAATCAAGCTATCCATGAGTAGCTTGGGCTTTATTAGACTACGAGTTTGTTTATACTTGTTTAATAGTTAAAGAAATGAGCTTCACCTTATTATCTTTGGGCTGGACCCACTTCTTAATGAGTTGTTCATAAGTTAACCCTAGTTTGTCTATGTTAGGCTCTCAAGATAGATGGGGGCCAACTTTAGGTGGGACCATGTTTTTCAGATGTGATTGTAATGGTTCTAGACTTCTACTATGTGTACATTGGGGATTTGATCAAAGAAGAAAAGATGGAAATGCAAGAATACATCGAGGTTGATAGATTTATGAGATTGACTATAAATTAGAATAGAGGTAAAGATCTTAAATGAGAAACTTAGGTTCAAGATCGAACAATACAAAATGGAACCGAGAAAAACCAGGAAACACTCTTTGCATATATGAAAATGAGTTATTTATCTCAAGTGAAACGGAATCATACTAGCATTTGATTGGCTTACAATTTATTTTCCTCCCATCTATTTTCTTCTTTGATCCAATCCCCAATGTACACGTAGTTGTAGACTATAAACTTTACAATCACGTCCTAGATGCATTGGTTGAACTATTTTAAGAGGCTAACCTAGACAAAATAGGGTTAATTTGACCAACATACCTGTCAACTCCAAAATCAAATTAATTTCCGCAACACGCCTATCAACTCCAAAATCAAATTAATTTGCGCAATACACCTTTTAACTCCAAAACTAAATCTGTGTTGACAACAAAACCTTCTATTTCTTCCTTTGGCTTCTTTATATAAACTTCCGTAGATCGACTAGACAAATAGAAACCCTAAAGGATGAGTCAAAGAGGGCAATCGGTTTTGAAGACACACCGCTCTTTATTTTCATGGTTCAGCCGAACCTTTAAGAGTATGCTCTCTCTCTCTCTCTCTCTCTCTCTCTCTATTCTTTAGATCAACTTCCATGTATTTTTTTTAAAAAAATTTTAAGTCTTAAATTAAGATAAAGGAAGAAAAATATTTGTTGCTCATTTAATCATTTGGGCATAGCTAAAGGTAAGCTTGAGTTTTGGTGGACTTCGAACTATCAAGTTTGAGCTAGGTCGAATATGATCTCCTAAACCCAAGTTTGAATATTTTATTAGTTTGACAAAGCAAATATTGGACATCTCCACACTTGACTTGATATGTTCTTCCTAAGAAGCACGTTCCCGACACGTGTTTGACACTCGTCAAAAAGTGTCTTATCTTTTTTATTTTTTATTTTTTAAAAAAATCTAGGCACTCTTCGGACACTTAGAGGACATACATGTCCATCAATTGGATACACATGAACAAGTTTGAACTAAATAACTTAAGATACAATAGTAAAACAAAATAATGTAAATTTAAAAAATTAAGTGTTATATTGTATTTTTTTATTATCTTTGAATGATATATTCTTATATATGACATATAATAAATATATAAAATTATATATTTCGTGCATATCCTCCACGTGACGCGTCTTGCATTTTTTGAAAATTGACATAGTGGCGTGTTTGTGTCGTGTCCGTGCTTAGTGTTCTATAAAATGAGTGATTAAGTCATTTGTGAATATGTTTCAAGGGAGGAACATACTGGAGAGTATTATACAATAACTTTATTAAATTGGGATTTTTTTTTTTCCTGTTTATACTACGAGGCATGTTGGCTGCATTGCCATTTTTAATCCCCTAGTATTTAATATTTTCTACTGAAACTGTAGCTGATAATCAGTGATTTCTCAAAGGACTAACTTTGTTCCACTATGGACAATATCACTTTTAATTAATGAAGTTTAAAGACTTTTATAGTGCTAATCATTAGATGAGGGAACTATATATTTGTGTTTAAATATGTAATACACAAATTAGTGGTAAGAACCTTCATTTGTATCAAAGAGAGAGCTTAGGAGGTTTCTTCTAACATTGGAGAAAAATTGACTGCCATCATAAATACATGCATTAATGCATTTCATATTATGCTTGTGACCTTGCTTTTTCATCAATAGTCATGGAGAAACTTAATGATAGATCATTAGTTTCCCACGAGTATCAATACTCATACCAGTGTTTTCAACTGTTTGATTTAAGTATGTCACTCATTTGGAAATGTACATTCTTAGGAGATTTCTTCTAACATTGGAAAAAAAATTGACTGCCATCATAAATACATGCATTAATGCATTTCATATAATGCTTGTGATATTGCTTTTTCATCAATAGTCATGGAGAAACTTATCAATACTCATACAGTTTCCCACGAGTATCAATACTCATACCAGTGTTTTCAACTGTTTAATTTAAGTATGTCACTCATTTGGAATTGTACATTCTTAGGAGGGTTTCTTCTAACATTGAAAAAAAATTGATTGCCCTCATAATTACATGCATTAATGCATTTCATATAATGCTTGTGATATTGCTTTTTCATCAATAGTCATGGAGAAACTTAATGATAGATCATTAGTTTCCCACGAGTATAGTGTTTTCGACTGTTTGATTTAAGTATGTCACTCATTTGGAAGTGTACATTCTTGTAGACTATTGTAGAGGGCTTGATATGATCCTTACCACTTTGATTTTCTATATTCTTGAATTTGAGGATAAAGTTGTTTGAAATGTTTGGGGAGCCCATTTATTATTATGTCAAAAGAAATTTATCCATATGATCCTTGCCACTTTATATTCTTGAATTTGGGGATAAAGTTGTTTGATGTTTGGACTGCCCATTTATTATCATGTCAAAAGGAATTTATCCATTTCGTCCTAATACCTTCGTATCTAGATTTTTCAAGGTATGCTTTTGGTGTCAGCATTTCTATCTTAATTCATTAATCTTTACTTTTATTATGGGCATGTCTGAAGACTCTTCTAGTCCTGCTACTCAGGCTGAAAAGGAGGAGGTGGATTCACGCTCCATATATGTTGGGAATGTGAGGTTTTACAATCCTTTTTCTTGTTTCAGATCATTTTTATTTTCTTTTTATGTCTTTTAATATAGTCGACAGTTTGAGTTGTCCTTGTTATTGCATGCTTTTGGTCTACCTCTATTCAATGTGTATATATCTATATCTGTACATAACTGTTTGGAACGATAGATACGATTGGTTATTGATTAGAAGTGGGATTTGTGTATACAAATGGATCGCATGTTTTTGTTTGAATCCGTTTAATGCCTATATTGAAATGCATCTTACCATCCTCCTATTCTTTTCAGTAGAACACTCTGTTCTTTCTTTTTGATGTTGTTAGAGAGCTTAGAATTAATAATATAGCAAATTAGCAATAATGATGATGGTGGTGGCAGTGATGGTGGTGTAATTAGTGGCAATAAGCGAATATAGTTGACATGGAGGTGGTGCTATGAGAAAAATGTTTCTCATCATATAATTGCTATGTAATTAGTAGCAAGAAGCAAATATAGTTGGCATGGAGGAATATATATTGTTTGTTTGCTTCTTTCCCCAAAAAATGATTCTTCCCACCAAAAACAAAGTAAATAATTTAGTAATTTTTATATCTCTTTATTTCAAAGAAATGACGATCTATGTAAAAAGAATTAAGTGGTTAAATTTAGTAATTTTATGCTATCAAATCCGTTTGCATTCAGTTCAAAGTGTTCTATATGATAGTCTTCGCCCCTTTTGAGTATTGTCTTTGTACTTCTATTCTTACTTTCTCAATTTCTTATCAAAATTTACAAATTGATAACCATCATCCTCCCCTCTCATAGGAAAATGAAGGGCCCATTTGGTTTGGTTTTGAAATCAATTTTGAAAGATAAGTTTTTGAAAAGAGTTTTCAAATTTTGAAAATTTGTTTGGTTCTAAATTTTGAAAATAGTTTTGTAGTTTGAGATGGTTTGTAGTTAAATAGATGGATGTGAGAGAAAAAAGTGATTGATTGATGTATAGGATGTGAGAGGAGAGAGGAGATAGAAAAAGTGATTGAAAACAGATTTGAGCAAATTGTAAACCAAACAAATTTTGGGTTTTGAGCTCTCAAAAATTGATTTGAAAACTACACCAAACAAGCATGAAGTGTTTGAGTTCAGGATCCGTGCCTAGTTTTGTCGTGGGATTCCTTTTCTAAACATTTTTTTTAGTTCCTTTTCTAAACATTTTTTAAATATACAAGCAATGAGGACTTAAGGAAGTTACTTTCTTTTGTTTTCTTAAGAGGTTCAAGCCCTTCCATATGCATTAGGAACTTTTCATATGCATCCTGAACAAGAGTAAAAAAGTTTGTGTTCTAATTATAAATGATTTTTGTTAAACATCAAACTGTATAGATTTGGAAATCCATTTGTTAATTTTATTACTCCCTTTTCTAAACATTTCTTGTCATTGCTTAAGCTCAGTTTACAAGTGCATGAAAAATGTAATGGAGTGGTACCTTTTATTTAACAATGTTGCACTCACTGACCACATTGCAAAAACATTCGAAGTCTTCCTGTTAGCTTTATGCCAAGGACAATTTTCCTCCAGTTTCACCTTCAAGACAATCTGGCAAGTGTCGAGGATCTCTGATCTTCTTGGTATATCTTGACCATAAATATTCGTATTTGTTATAAGGGAGCCATTATTCCCACTCCACTTTGCTCCATATACATTACCTTCTTTGTCCTTTATTATACATAGTTACATTAATACCCTTTCACACAATATACTCTCCTTGAAAAAACCAAAATTTCAAGGGTATTAATGTAACTATGTATAATAAAGACAAAGAAGGGAGTCTATTTGGAGCAAGGTGGGGTGGGAATAGCGGCTCCTTTGTTATAACCTTTTAATTTTAGAGCATGTATGTGTCCATTGATGTAATGGGGCTGTTTGACCATGTGATTGCCATGGTAGCTTGTTGCATAAGTGAATAATCGCATGTGATAGATTATCTTCTACATGCCTATCAATATCATTATACTCGATGGGTTTAAAAAGAAATGTAGCTCATTTAAATCTTGTGCAAGCTTATCACAGTCAGAAATTTTGTCATTTGTCAAGAATTGCATTTAGGTTTGTTTCAACTTCATTATACGTGTTTTGATGCTGAATACTTCCATCTAGAATGCCTGGAAATGTGTCTGGTGCATCAGAGACTTTTATGCAACCCATCTAGTGTGGAATTAGAGTAAAATAGAAAGGGTTTTAAATAGTCACTGTCGAATCCAGATAATGGCTTATAGAAGTTCATCAATGGCTTATTGAAGGGGAGGAAACATCTGTGTGGATGCTTTAGCAAAATTAGGAGCTAATCAACCTGCTGAATTGCTTATTGTTAATGACCTGCCAGCGGAAATCCGTAGCACTTTAGTTGCAGATATTGTGTACCTGGCCGGGGGTGATGGGGCGTAGTCCCGTTTGATGTTTTGTTACTTTCCGTTGTACCCAAAAATAAATAAATAATATGCACAAATTTCTCCCTATCTGTCTGTGTGATGAGTAATGTATTAATATCATAAATATTTGTTTTAAACTAAAAGAAAGTGTTCTCTTGGCAAAATAAAGGTTTAATCTTCATGACTTGGAATTGTTGCTGTATTTTGTGTACTTGACATTCATCTTGGGGTGTGTTTCTGATTTGGGAAATGAAACGCTACTTCTTCCTATGAATTTGTTGGACCTATTAAGTCAGTCATAGATTCTTTTGTAAATTTTTTATGCTTTAAATGTAATTTGAAGAACTTATATATGAGGAATCTAGTTGGACAAAACTGGTGTAGTTTGTCAACTAAAGTAAATTTTGTTCCAGTGTCTTTAATCCATTTTAGTTCTCTTGGATTTACTCCATTGTTAGTAATCTCTTTGTAATTTGCTTTAATGGTATCTATTCCTGTTTCCTGAAGCATGTCATCTCTCTGTGAGTAAACACTAAACATTGTTAAGGAGTGAATAATCATTTTTCTCTTTACTATGATTAAACTTCAGGTAGATTATGTGTGTACACCTGAGGAGGTCCAGCAACACTTCCAATCCTGTGGGACAGTTAACAGGGTCACAATTTTGACAGACAAGTTTGGTCAACCTAAAGGATTTGCTTATGTGGAGTTTGTGGAAATTGAAGCTGTTCAGAATGCTCTTCTGTTGAATGAATCAGAGTTGCATGGCCGCCAGTTGAAGGTCCTTGAACTTACATTGATCCAATTAATTACTTTGCCGCAGAGAGAGATGATTATTTCATATGCAATGGATTCTGTTCTGCAGGTTTCTTCAAAACGAACTAATATTCCAGGGATGAAACAGTATCGAGGAAGGCGTCTGAACCCATATATTGGTTTTCGAACACGAAGACCCTTCATGCCTGTTCCACCTTTCTATCCTTCATTTGGATATGGGTAAGCATAGAATTATCTATGTGCCTTCGGTTGCTTGTTAGACAAATGGAAAGTTGGCCATTAAGATATGGGGGTGTTTGGGAAGTTGGCTATTTTAGTAGACTATTTTAGTTTTTGGCTATTTTAGTAGGCTAAAATAGTTATGTTTGGGAAGAGGGTTGAATTTTTTTGTAGTTGGATGTGATGTTTGTGAGAGAAAAAGTGAAATGATTGTGGGTTTGATGTGACATTTTGTCTTATTGGCTATTTTAGCCTATTTTGTCTTTTAGTGCTATTTTAGCCCAAAAGGCCAAAAAAGCCTATTGCCAAACACCCCCTATCTAGGTGCTGTTTTGGTTGCTTGCTAAACTAATGGGCAGTTGGGAAGGGGAACCTTATGATGCCAATTGCAACTTCAATTTTCTTTTCTTTCATCCGCCAACTCAAGCACCACAATAGTGCATTATTATACTGGTTTTGCTATCACTTAGTGCTAAGAGAACTAGAGAAAGTTATGCCTATCAAATACATATTAGAAAAAAATTACAATGCTGCAATGGTTTACAAGGTATGAATTGTTTAGGTGAGGAATTCAGGCAGATTGATCCAATATAGTGTTGTCATGGAGGACAAACTTTCATTCACTTGCCTCAATAACATATGAAGGATTCCGTCATATTAGGTACTAAAGATAGCCCTTTATTTGCACGAAGCAAGGAGTGACGGTATATAGAAGTTTTTTAGGATAGAAGTGCTTATGGGAGAGTGTATCTATTTTATATATCCAATTATTTTTTCCTGCTTAGTTATATATATGTGTTAAAATATGAATAAATATTAAATATTGATGTCAACTACAAATTATCTTTGTTAAGTTTAAGCAAAATATTATGTAAGTAGAAAGTATTAGGATAAGTTTAAGTTGTTTTTCTTTTGTTTCTTTGAGATTTTTATGTTGAGGTTCTATCCCAGTTGGGAACAAGTTTTTTTCCTCTATGGGAGAGTTTTTTCCAATATAGGAGTGAGTTTGTTACTTAGGAGTGCACAATCGAATTTCTAAGTAAGATATGCCATCCAAATAGGAATTTCTTGCTACTAAGGTTAGCACTATGCAGTATGCATTTTGTACACAAAAAGACAGACATGCAACATGACATGAACACATTGATATGACAATTTAAAAAAAAAAAAATGCAGGACATGATACTTTAAGGGACACACAAAATATAGTCTCATATATTTATTATATGTCAATGTCATATATACTTGTTGTTAAAAGATAACAAATAATACAATACAACAGTAATTCTTAGAGTCTAAACGAGGGATTTACAAGTATTAATGTGCCTAAGGTTTATATCATCTTTCTTTTATCATTAGATCCCAAGCTATTTTATGCATTTCATGTGTCTAAGCGATAAACATATGTGTTCCTCAAATGTCTAAAGCGTGTCTAAGTCTAAAAAACTAATAGAACACATTTGGACATATGCCGGACACATGTCAAAAAGTATCCGACGAGTATTTGACATGGACACAGTAATTTCTTTGAAGTGTCAGTACTTCTTAGCTAGTCCATTTTCCCTTAGGCTTGGCATATGAGAATTGTTTTAAGATCAACTTTAAAATTGAACTTTGTGATAGTCCCTGATGCAATGGAAGGAAAGAAATTGTTTTGAGTTTTGGGGAAAAATGATATGTTAGAGCATCTCCAACAGGCTTGGAAGCTCTTTTAGCCATTTTAGCCAGACTCCTTATTTCAGCTCTCAAACATGCTAGCCATTCCAGCACGCCTTATTTCAAGTGGCTGTTCACTAGCCATGCATAAATAAGTTTTGGGCAAATTTCACTTTATCCCATTGTGGTTTGGCCCATGTACGGATAATCCCCTTATCATTTCATAATAACCACATAACCCTTGTAGTTTGTGGACCGAAATGCACTGTTAACTTTTCCATCAAAGTTAACGGGTATGTTTGGTTTGGTTTTGAGAGAGTAGTTTTTAAAAATTGTTTTGGAGAGAGAGTTTAGAAATTTTTTTGGTTTGTTTGGTTGTGTATTTTGAAAGTAGTTTTGGAGTTTGGAATGATTTGATCATTTGTTGTAATTGAATAGATGTGTGTGAGAGAAAAAGTGATTGAGAAAGAGAGAGGAGAGAGAAAAAGTGATTGATTGATGTGTAAGAGAGAGAAAGTGATTTTGAAAATTGTTTTGGAAAAATTACAAACCAAACAAGTTTTTTAGAAAAATTTTCCCAAAATCACTCTACAAATCCAAACCAAACATACCCAACATGTTTTGACAGCCACATAGCCAAGCATAAATAAGTTTTGGGCAAATTTCACTTCATCCCATTGTGGTTTGGCCCATGTACGGATAATCCACTTATCATTTCATAATAACCACATAACCCTTGTAGTTTGTGGACCGAAATGCACTGTTAACTTTTCCATCAAGTTAACGGGTATGTTTGGTTTGGTTTTGAGAGAGTAGTTTTTAAAAATTGTTTTGGAGAGAGAGTTTAGAAATTTTTTTGGTTTGTTTGGTTGTGTATTTTGAAAGTAGTTTTGGAGTTTGGAATGATTTGATCATTTGTTGTAATTGAATAGATGTGTGTGAGAGAAAAAGTGATTGAGAAAGAGAGAGGAGAGAGAAAAAGTGATTGATTGATGTGTAAGAGAAAGAGAGTGATTTTGAAAATTGTTTTGGAAAAATTACAAACCAAACAAGTTTTTTAGAAAAAAATTCCCAAAATCACTCTACAAATCCAAACCAAACATACCCAACATGTTTTGACAGCCACATTCCTGTACAGAAAGTATACCATTTTTAAAGTTAAAATAACCCTTGCACCCTTTCAAATTTACAAAATATGTCATTTTTTCTTACCCAAATGTCAAGGCAAAAGGTTTAAAAAGTTTCCATGCAAATAGAGAAGCGAACAGATCGCGAGGCTTGGCTTCTCCTATCAAAGGCATCAAACAGTTCTTTCAACAACAATGGCCTGAGAGTTCATCATCAATGGATGCTTCTTCACAAGTATCCACCAGTTGGAGAGATGAGCCCTTTCGAACAAGGACTTAGAAGATGATGAGATTGTGGTACTGAATCCAATTGTTGCTTGGCATTCATTTTTAGAAAAATTAGAGGTGATACAGATGGATATTGATATGCCTTCTCTCCACAACTAGGAAATCAATAAAGTTTTTAATTTAAATTATGATTTTAAGCTTGATTTTACTTTAAAAATTAAATAAATTTAGGATAAACTACCAATAGGTCCTAATAGTTGGACTTAATTCCCATCAAGTCCTATTAAAAATAAGTCTTGGTAAAATTGTAGATAAAAATAATTTTTTTGTGATAATTTTTTATATGTCGCTAAAAATTGACAATTAATGACTTTTTTTTGTCATAATTTTTATAAATTGTCGCTAAAACTTACAATTAGTGACAATTTTTTATTACAAATTTTTCTCATAGGACCTATTAGACAATAAATCCACTTATTAAGACCTACACGTAAGTGCCTCTTAAATTTATTGAAATTAACGAGCTCTGTAATGAAAGTGGTAATTGAAATTAATGAGCTCTGTAATGAAAGTGGATAAGTGAGGTTGGTTGGGTTGGGGTTGGAGAAGTGGGAGTGAGTGAGGCAATGGAAGGGAGTTAGCTGCCAATGCAGATGTTTCTATCAATGGAGGTTCATACATTTTTTATCCTGGACCATTACTGCAAACAGAAACTGGACTGAACTCCAGTCATTGTTTGCAATTTGTAATATATATTGTAGATTATAAATATATATATATATATAATATTGGTTTAGAAGATGATGACGGGGGCATTTGAGTAAATTTACACTTCTGTTGACAGAAGTTAGTGGTGCAGTAGTGCACTTTGGCCCACAAACCACGAGGGGATTATGTTGTTATTTTCAAATGATAAGGGGTTTATCTGCACATGGGCCAAACCCCACAAGGGGGTAAAATGAAATTTGCTCATAAGTTTTTTCTGTCTTGCACTCTCTCACTGTGGCATCAACCCATCCTCCCACGGCACCACAACAGCAGCCCCCTTCCCCTCGTCTTGCACAACCTCTTCCCACCACTGCCTGCAACTCTACCTTTAAAACTGCAGCAGTGGACCTTCCTCCCACCATCACCTCCAAAACCACTGCCGCCTCCACCCCTCCCCCATATTTTTCTCCCTGAAGCCCCACCACTGCAGCTGGAAGATCGAAGCACCAGTGATTTCACAGTTTTGTGCAACGTTTTTCTTTATTGGTAAGCTTTGTACAAAGTAATATATCTTTAAGGCCTCTCCTAGTATAATCCTTAAATTATTTTTTTTTAAAAATCCTTTAGGGTATTCTTTCTTTTATGGTAGATAGGTTCCTCATTTGTCCTTAATGTAAATAGAATTTTGATATAAATTTATGTGTCACTCTTTGGGCCTGCTTTGGATTTTTTTCCTCTTTTGTCCCTGCCAGTTAGATAAAAAAAACATGGCTCATGTTCAGTTAGGTCATTTATACAGATCTTTGAGTGTCCAAATGGAAAAGTTCTCAATCTGTGACAATGCGTAAAAGACGTTTTGTATAAGCTAATGACTAGAGAGTAATGAGAAGGTACTAAAATGAAAGAGGGAGTTTAGAGGCCTTCTAATTGGCTAGTAGTTTGAGGGGAAAAGAACCTACGATTTTATCTGTAATTTAGATCCATTGGGAAATCTCAAACCTTTCATGTATGTTTTTAGAACTTTTAACAATCATGGAATTAGGAAATAAAAATAACCATCGTCTACCCCATATGTAGTTCTGGGGCCACAGAAATTTGAAAAATGAAAATAATAATAATAATAATAATAATAATAGCAGAACCAAGGTTCTTTTGTTGTTATCCTTCTATTACAAGCTCCTTAGCAGGGAAACATAGATAGAAAGAAAAATGTATCTCTTCTACAGAGTTTTTACTTACAATTAATTTGAATATATGGCTTTTGTTGTTCCCTCCTATGATGGGAAAGATTGTTTCTGCCTTGGATAACTATTTTGCATTTTTAGCTTGTTTTTTGATCTTGGATTTGGGAAGGGATTTGTGGAAAAAACAAAAAACAAAAAATGGGAAGGAAGGGAAATATGAATGAAATATAATGCTAAATTTTTTCACATTTTTCTTCTCTTTTCTGTTCTCACAAATCCCTCCCCAAATCCAAGGCCCAAACACTGACCTAGAGTTCAAGTTGTAAATTAGGATTGATGTGGTTTTTTTTTTTTTTTTTCCCCTACTGTGCAGAAGGGTTCCAAGGTTCAGACGCCCCATGCGGTACAGGCCATACTGATTTTGGATCTTGCTCGACTTGTGGCCCTACTGAAGATTCACTGTCTTGTTATAGCAACTGCCTCATTTATGAAGCATCAATTGCAAAGTTAGCTTATTATTTTCGTATCAATATTTCTGCAATATGGATGATGGGTGATCTCATAAGAACTTGTACCATCAGTTGCATACCAAAAAGCAGACTTTTTTCTTTTTTTTCTTTTTTTTTCTTTTTCCTAATTGTAGGAATAATGGATTTAAGTTCTATGGATGGAAGAATCAGTCAAACAAATCGTTTGTTGTGAAAATGGTTCTGAATGATGTCTTCTATGAATTTGAAGTCTGATAGAGTTCAAATGTTGTCGATACAGGGTTAATGACCGGATGTTTTTATAGCAGTATGCATGGATGGATCATTGCAGTTAATTCATGAAGCTTTGCTGCTGTAGTGCAGATGAAGAGAATCAGTCGGCAATTTGAATGTGGGACACGTCATAGTTTCAGTTCACATTGCAATCTTCAGCAGTGGGAAGTTGCATGTTTCATGAAATGCACGTCATAGTTATATGTGTACATGAAGAACTGTGATGGTGGTGTGTGCCATGTTTGGAATTTAAAGCAATCTCAATTTCATGTTGAAAAGCAGTGAATATCATGCAAGAAATGCTTTTTATCCAGAAGCTGGAATTAAAGCAATCTCTGTGTAGTGGTGGAAGTAGTGAATAATTGCTTTTCTGCTGTTTTCAAAATTTGAGAAGGTGATATCCATATCTTGACGAGGAAGACGGTAATTCTCAATTTTCGGTTGCACATTGATATTCTAGATAATTATAATACGAAATTTTTCTTTGGGGGATGTTGTTAACTACCACCGAAAGGGCATTGGAGTTTATCCTTCATATGTATGTTTATTATTGGTTGTGATATTACACTATGCGTCTATGATTGTGACACTGAACTTTTAGTCTTGATTAAGGTTAGTATGTGTTGAAAATATATTAAATTATACAAAAATTGTTTAGAAATATATAAAAATGATCCATTGGGAAATCTCAAACCTTTCATGTATGTTTTTAGAACTTTTAACAATCATGGAATTAGGAAATAAAAATAACCATCGTCTACCCCATATGTAGTTCTGGGGCCACAGAAATTTGAAAAATGAAAATAATAATAATAATAATAATAATAATAGCAGAACCAAGGTTCTTTTGTTATTATCCTTCTATTACAAGCAGGGAAACATAGATAGAAAGAAAAATGTATCTCTTCTACAGAGTTTTTACTTACAATTAATTTGAATATATGGCTTTTGTTGTTCCCTCCTATGATGGGAAAGATTGTTTCTGCCTTGGATAACTATTTTGCATTTTTAGCTTGTTTTTTGATCTTGGATTTGGGAAGGGATTTGTGGAAAAAACAAAAAACAAAAAAAGGGAAGGAAGGGAAATATGAATGAAATATAATGCTAAATTTTTTCACATTTTTCTTCTCTTTTCTGTTCCCACAAATCCCTCCCCAAATCCAAGGTCCAAACACAGACCTAGAGTTCAAGTTGTAAATTAGGATTGATGTGGTTTTTTTTTTTTTTTTCCCCTACTGTGCAGAAGGGTTCCAAGGTTCAGACGCCCCATGCGGTACAGGCCATACTGATTTTGGATCTTGCTCGACTTGTGGCCCTACTGAAGATTCACTGTCTTGTTATAGCAACTGCCTCATTTATGAAGCATCAATTGCAAAGTTAGCTTATTATTTTCGTATCAATATTTCTGCAATATGGATGATGGGTGATCTCATAAGAACTTGTACCATCAGTTGCATACCAAAAAGCAGACTTTTTTCTTTTTTTTCTTTTTTTTTCTTTTTCCTAATTGTAGGAATAATGGATTTAAGTTCTATGGATGGAAGAATCAGTCAAACAAATCGTTTGTTATGAAAATGGTTCTGAATGATGTCTTCTATGAGTTTGAAGTCTGATAGAGTTCAAATGTTGTCGATACAGGGTTAATGACCGGATGTTTTTATAGCAGTATGCATGGATGGATCATTGCAGTTAATTCATGAAGCTTTGCTGCTGTAGTGCAGATGAAGAGAATCAGTCGGCAATTTGAATGTGGGACACATCATAGTTTCAGTTCACATTGCAATCTTCAGCAGTGGGAAGTTGCATGTTTCATGAAATGCACGTCATAGTTATATATGTACATGAAGAACTGTGATGGTGGTGTGTGCCATGTGTGGAATTTAAAGCAATCTCAATTTCATGTTGAAAAGCAGTGAATAACATGCAAGAAATGCTTTTTATCCAGAAGCTGGAATTAAAGGAATCTCTGTTTAGTGTTGGAAGTAGTGAATAATTGCTTTGCTGCTGTTTTCAAAATTTGAGAAGGTGATATCCATAGCTTGATGAGGAAGGTAATTCTCAATTTTAGGTTGCACAGTGATATTCTAGATAATTATGATATGAAATTTTTCTTTGGGGGATGTTGTTAACTACCACCTAAAGGGCATTGGAGTTTATCCTTCATATGTATGTTTATTATTGGTTGGTGATATTACACTATGCGGCTATGATTGTGACACTGAAGTTTTAGTCTTGATTAAGGTTGACACACTTTTAGTCTTGATTAAGATTTGTATGTGTTAAAAATATATTAAATTATACCAAAATTGTTTAGAAATATATAAAAATATAAGAATACGGAAAATGTGTATTAGAGTTTTAAATTTTATTTATTTATTTATTTCTTAACCAATGCATAAAGGGTAGTAATTTTTTTAGCCATGGAATAACTTCAGTACATTGGGAGAGTATATTTTTTAGCCATGGAAGAACATACGTATATGGGGAAAAGGGGAGAGAGTGCAAGGATGAGAGTAGAACTCGCGTTGTTAAAGTGTCTTTATGAGTAATTTTTATAAGTGGTGGCATATGTCAATAAGCCTAGGTTGAATTTGCTCTATATAATTACACAAGTTGTGCTATCCTGAGTTACGGCTCAACTTGAGCTAATCATTATCTTTAAATTAACCTCTTGAGTTACTTAGAGAATAAATCACGTAATCTCGAGTCAATCTATATGGCCCATTAGGAGCTCAAATTTTCTATTGAATTCATTTTTGAATTTTATCTTTATATATAACAAAGTTAAATGATATTATATATAAAATTATATATTATATATAATTTGTTGTTTGGGTCAAGCCCCACTTCAAGCATAGTTTTGGAGTTGGTCCATGATTATGAACGACATGTCCATCCTAGAATTGCTTTTTAAAATGAATTTTTTTAAATAAAAAAAAAAGTTATGATAAATTATTATCATATAAAATTAAAATATTTATAATTTTAATGTATAGTTCACATATTTTAACATATTTTTATATGTTTTTATACATATCAATACACCTTTTGAAAGAGAATCATCTCCATTGCTTTCTTCATCTCCAGCAGCCGCCTTTGGATTAACTATTGAATGATGGTTGAACCAAAAGAATACTGAAGAAATGCTTTTTTAATATGTTTTTAACGGGCTAATTACACTTAGCATCCTGACATTTTATTAAAATTTCACTTTAATCTTTTTACTTTCAATTCTAACAATCAACCCTTTACATTTTAAATTAACTTGTAACTTCATCTTTCTATACGTCTATCATTAATAAAGTTGACGGAACTTGTCATGTAAACTATACATGACATTTTTATTGTCTTATTAACACTCTTATACTTTTATTAAAATCTCATTTTTAATTATTTAACTTTCAATTTTCGTTAAATTTATCAACGGTTGATGAACAAATAGATAAGATTGAAACTTAATTTAAAATGTAAGAATTAATTGTTCAAATTGAAAATGGAGAGATCAATGTGATATGTTAATAAAATTGTAGGTAAGGCCTTGCTGGAGGAGTGATGTTTATGGCAAAAAGTGAAAAAGCCACTATGGCTTCATTTGTTTGACGGATTAGATTGGATGAGATTATGAGAACAGTAGGATTGAGTGAAATGATTATTAGTGTTGTGATATTAGGTTAGAGATACAAGATAAAGGCCACGTTTGTTTGGTGAATTAAGTTGGATGAAATTGTTAGTAAGAAGATGGTTAGTGAAGAGTTTGTTAATATGGGGATTGTTAGTAAAAGTGTATTTTTTTTATTTTTTTTATTTTTTGTTTTTTGTGGGAGATGGTTAGTGATGAGATTGTTAAATTATCTGTATATAAAATAAGTAAAAAAAAGTATTTCTGTATTAAAAAAAAACTGAAACAAATATTAAAATAAACAGGTGCACATGATAAAAAATAAATTAAAAAATATATATTTTTTTTATATATAAAATAGATTCAATCTACTCATTATTTTTTTAATTTTACCAAAAATCTAGCTAAGCTAATCCTTTTCTTGAGGAGGATTACTAAACCCCTCACACTGTTAATTCCCCTCCCAAATCATCACCAAACAAGGTGTAGATGGGACCTACACCCATACTAATCTAATGTGGCCCCTACCCCGCTAAACAAACATGGCCAAAGTGTGCTTATTTGTATATTAGTGTGGTAATATTAGTTAGTTATGACTAAATCTATAAAATTACTTAAAAACCTTTCTCACATATAATATAATTTTGTTAGTTTCATAAAGTGGAGGGCAAAATGATAATTTAATCATCAATTTGTGTGAGGAGATTAGTTATTCCAACCCTCCCATAACAATGCTAATCTCACCATGAGAGGGAATTCACACTCCCATGAAGTTGTTATTCCTATGATATTTTAGTGGCACAAACATGGATTTGATAGATCCCACTCCCACATATTAATGTAATTTTCCGTCTCAAACCCCCAATCAAACCTGACGTATAAAATTATCACATTATTTTTTTTTAACCTTTGACATATATTTTTATAAAAAAAAAAAAAAATTGACTAGAATTGACTGTTCTTAAATAAAAAATAAGTATAATTTACTTATTTTTCAACATTAACATCACATGTGTGAGAGAAGAAAAAAAAGAAAGAAAAGAAGAAACATCTTGTGAGAGTTGTCCATCAAATTGTTCACGGCATCTTGGTAGATGCGGCGAAACGCGTAAGAGTTGTTGTATGTTCAAAGATCGCGTGCCCGCTGCGCCGCGTCACATCCCGTAAAAGGATGGGATCACCAGCTGGATAAAATTAAGGAACATTTATCGATTTTTATTAATTATATTTATTTATATATATGTTTTAATTGATAAATTTGTCATTATAAATTTATTGATTAAAATAAGAGAAATTAATATATTTATCACTTAATAAATTTATTAATAAAATTTAATGAGTAATAAATTTTAAAAATAAAACCTATTGATAATTTAAAGCTACTTGAAAAACACTTCATTATGGTCTGCATCTCATTAAAATAATTGATAATGCTAGATGAAA